AGGGGAAGTTAGAAATTAAGTTAGTTTTGGGGCCGGATGGTGGCTATGCCTGTAATCCTAGCAATCTGGAGGCCAGGAGGGGCGGATTGCTTGAGGTCAGGAGTTCGAAACCAGCCTGAGCAAGAGCCAGACCCCGTCTCTACTATAAATAGAAAGAATTAATGGCCAACTAATATATATAGAAAAAAAATTAGCCGGACATGGTGGCGTGTGCCTGTAGTCCCAGCTACTCAGGAGGCTGAGGCAGAAGGATTGCTTAAGCCCAGGAGTTCGAGGTTGCTGTGAGCTAGGCTGACGCCATGGCACTCACTCTAGCCTGGGCAACAAAGCAAGACTCTGTCTCAAAAAAAAAAAAAAAAAGGAAATTAAGTTAGTTTTGGATATCCAAGTGGAGAGAGATTTCAAGTAGGTAGTCTGGAGCTCAAAGGAGAGGACTGGCTGAGGACATAAATTTGGGAATTGTCATTGGATGAAACACCTAGGGAGAGATGAAGATAGAAACCGGTATTAGATGTAGGGGGAGGAGCCATCAAGAGAGACTGGGAAGTATGGGTGAGATAGGGAATAATGCCAAGAAAGCTGAGACTTGATTAGTAACTGCTATCGAAGGGTTAAGAAGAGGACAGAGGCTGCGTGGAAAAAAAAAGGAAAAAAAAAGAGGACAGAAATTTCTTCCCATTAGATTTGGTAATATGGACATTGTTGATAGCTTGATAAAAGCAATTTTGTAAGTCAGATTTGGTTAGAAGAATGAACAGAGCACACAGATTCAACAATATTGGTAATGTCTATTTCTAAAGTTGATTATTTTGCTGCCCTTTATTTCTTACACATAAGATATATAATATTCAAGAAACATGTCGCGATAAAATTAAGGTAAATGGATACTTAGGATTTGTAGATGACTTTCAAGAAGAGAGATTCGGTTACCACATTATCAAATTTAGTATCAAATTGGCAACCTGTCATTAAGTGCCTCTTGGTATGATGCAGTGTGAAACACAGCATCACTTATATATATTCTTGCCAAAAAATATTTTTAACCTGAGTCTATTCTAGCCCCAAACTTTACAGGAAATACAAAGATTAGGAGTATGAGTTTAATGACATAAAACCAGAATGTAGAGCATTCTATAAGACAGCTGAGCCAGGCATGGTGGCTCATGCCTGTGATCCCAAGAGCTTTGAGAGGCCGAAGGGGAGGATCACTTGAGGCTAGGAATTAGAGGCCAGCCTAGGGAACATAGCAAGACCCCATCTCTACAAAAAATGAAAATTAAAACATTTAACTGTGGTGGAAGGCACTTGTATTCCTAGCTACTCCAGAGGCTGCAGTGGGAGGATCACTTGAGCTATGACTGCACTACTGTACTCCAGCCTAGGTGATAGAGCAAGGGAACCTTACTCTAAAAAAGAATCATTGACTTCTTACCCTTTGAGACATTGCAGTTTGTGGTTAATTGAAATTCCAGGATGTGAGCAGATGTTTCTTTATCAGTGATGATACAAATCCCAACTCAGAATTCAGATGTATTTGCTGTTTCCAATAGCTATGAGCTTCTTTATCTATCTATCTATTTATTTATTTTTTGAGACAGAGTCTCACTCTGTTGCCCTGGCTAGAGTGAGTGCTGTGGCGTCAGCCTAGCTCACAGCAACCTCAATCTCCTAGGCTCAAGCGATCCTCCTGCCTCGGTCTCCCGAGTAGCTGGGACTACTGGCATGTGCCACCGTGCCCAGCTAATTTTATATATATATTTTTTTTAGTTGTCCATCTAATTTCTTTCTTTTGAAAAAAATATTTTTTGTATTAACATCTTTCATTTTTTTATTTTTTCGCACATGGATCAGGAATATCTTTCTACTTTTTTTTAGTAGAGACAGGGTCTCATTCTTGCTCAGGCTGGTCTCAAACTCCTGAGCTCAAACGATTCTCCTACCTTGGCCTCCCAGAGTGCTAGGATTATAGGCGTAAGCCACCACGTCCAGTCTGAGCTTCTCATTTTACAAAATGAACAGAACCTGGAATTTAGAACCAAACAGGTCAGGGTTGACTTTAAATTAACTTCTTCCTGGTTTGTCATTGAGTCTCATTTTTCTCATCTGTAAAATAGGGAACAATGCCCACTTCTCAGGATTGTTTTGAAGATTCAAGATTATATATACAAAGAGCTTGGCACATTTCAAACCTAACTAACTTGCTAACGCTGTGGGCTCTATACCCCAGTGCACTCTTACCATTTTCTTTTTAATTAACTGGTATGTAGCTATTGTGTTTTAACCCAAGAATCTTCTGTTGATGTTTATTTGTATGAGAATTCCTAGTGGAGAGTCCAAGGAGGGATCAGCTGGAAAAACTCATTTCAGCCTGGGAGAAGATAGGTTTCTTATTCTTGAAGGAAGAGGCCAAATGTTGAGAGATAACAGGTTTTTTAATCTTTTATCTCTTTTCCAAGTGGATCTAAGGAACCCTTAATACATCATGATGAGTTGTAAAGCTCATATGCCCAATAGTTACTCTGCCTGTTTTAAAGCCTTAGCTCATTCCCAAGTACCAGGGAAGCTACGATAACATTTCATTAGAAAGTCTTCCTTTGCAAAGAGGAGAGCCCACTCAGCTTAGCACCAGGACAAGGATCATAATTTGAAAAGATTGACTCCTTAATGATATTCCAGGGCCCATGTCCTTTGAAGATTGCCATGTCATTACCTAGAAAGAAAACACTGGTTCCCTGATCTCTCACATACAGCTCTTTGGACTCTTCTAGTCAGATGCCGTTAAGTTGACTGGTAATCTATTTGGTATCCTTTTTTTTTTTTTTTTTTTTGAGACAGTCTCACTCTGTTGGCCAGGCTAGAGTGCTGTGGCGTCAGCCTAGCTCACAGCAACCTCAATCTCCTGGGCTCAGGCAATCCTGCTGCTCCCGAGTAGCTGGGACTACAGGCATGCGCCACCATGCCCGGCTAATTTTTTCTATATATATTAGTTGGCCAACTAATTTATTTCTATTTATAATAGAGATGGGGTCTCGCTCTTGCTCAGGCTGGTTTTAAACTCCTGAGCTTGAGCGATCCACCCGCCTCGGCCTCCCAGAGTGCTAGGATTACAGGCATGAGCCACTGGCCCGGCCGACAATTGTGTTTTCTAAGCCTCGTTTTTTTTCATCTATCAGTTAAAGCCTATATTACTTTGCTAGGGCTTCCATGACAAAGTACCACAGATTGGGTGACTTAAACAACAGAAATATGTTTTCTCATAGTTCTGGAGGATATAAGTCCAAAATCAAGGGGGCAGTAGAGTTGGTTTCTTTTGAGGCCTCTCTTTGGCTTCTAGATAACCATCTTCATGTTCACATTGTATTTTCCCTTTCTTCTTACCAGGACATAGTTACTGGATTAGGGCCTACCCCAATAACCTTATTTACCTTAATTATCTCTTTAAGGACTCTGTCTCCAAATATAGTCACATTCTGAGGTTCTGGGGGTTAGGACTTCACCATATGAATTTTGAGATGACATAATTCACCCATGCCTATTTTGTATTATTGTTGCTAGTTCCTTGGTTCTAAAAGCCTATAAAATGCATGGCAACATTAGACATTTATTCCTTAGAAATGGGAAGTATAATTCACTTTGAGATGATTCCTTGACTAAGAAAACCCAAAGAGAGTGTAGGGCAGTCAGATGCTAGTAAAGGTTTATTTGTATTGTGGATTTTTTTGACCTAGCCCCAGCAAGTGAGAGAGTTCGTGATGGAAAAAGCCCCCTGGCCTGCTGGATTGCTGAGAGATAGCCCAGTCTTCTTTGGTTGCTGATTTCACATGTACTTCTGCAGATATTCCTCCTTTCAGTCTAACCTCCCTGCCTGCTTCTCCAGTGAAGTCATAAGCAAATATTTGTGATAGTTTCTTGTCACCATGGTAACTAAAGAAACATAACCTGATTCCCCTTCCAGCTTCACTGTCAGCTCTGCTCAAAGGAGGGGATAGCCTCTGGGAGAGCCCAGACTCAGAGTCATGAAAAAACATGTGTCAGGTAATAGGGGACAGAGGTTCACAGTGCTGCCTTTAGCACTTGTCCTCTACCTGTTAGTCTCCAGGCCTAGGGGTAATTGGGGACACCAAAGGGAGGTCACTGCTGTTCCCTAGAACTTTTTTACAATAAGTCCATGTGGGCTTTTGCCAAGTGGATGTGAAGACTTGTACATTGTAAGACTCTACTACTGCTATTGCTTCCCCAAGCTACTTTCCAGAATGGTCAGGGGCTCCTTCTCTAAAGTTTCATTTCTTAAATATCCCTAGCTCCAAAATTCAGCTCTCCATCCTTAGCCTCCAGTTCACTTCTCTTTTTTTTTTTTTTGGACAGAGTCTCACTTTGTTGTCCAGGCTAGAGTGAGTGCCGTGGCGTCAGCCTAGCTCACAGCAACCTCAAACTCCTGGGCTCAAGCGATCCGATTGCCTCAGCTCCGGTAGCTGGGACTAAGGCCATGACACCATGCCGGCTAATGTTTTATATGTATCAGTTGCCAATTATTTTTTCTATTATAGTAGAGACAGGGGTCTCAGCTCTTGTTCCAGGCTGGTTTTTGAACGTCCTGACCGTGTAGCCACCGCGCCCGGCCTCACTTCTCTTTCAATGCAGATTCCCTTAGACTCTTTTTGGTTTTGGGCAGGGTTCACTCTACTGGCTGGGTACAGGTGCGCAACATAGCTCACTGTAACCTGGCTCAGGCGATCCTCCTGCCTCAGCCTCCTGAGTATCTGGGACTACAAGGGGACACCACCACACCCAGCTAACTTTCTTTATAGTTTATAGAGATGGGTCTCTATCTTGTCAGACTGGTCTTGAACTCCTGGCCTCAAGTGATCCTCTCACCTCAGCCTCCCAAAATGCTGGGATAACAGGCATGAGCCACCATGCCTGGCTAAAAAAATTATTCTTTTCTTTTTAGACAGTCTCACTTTGTTGCCTGGTCATGAGGGCAGTGGCATGGTTATACATCACTGCAACCTCAAATTCCTAGGCTCAAGCAATAGTCCTGCCTCAGCCTCCCAAGTAGCTGGGACTACAGGCACACACCACCACACCTGACTAATTTTTCTATTTTTTGTAGAGGTGAGATCGCACTCTTGCTCAGGCTGGCCTCGAACTCCTGGCCTCAAGCCATCCTCCCACCTTGACCTCCCAAAGTGCTAGGATTACAGGTTTGTGCCACACCTGGTGGGAGATTTCTTTTTTAATTCTGTTGTCAGAATCATCCCTATCTTTCCAGAAAAAGGGCAGTATTAAGAGTTAGTTGTCCCCTTCTTTGTGCATATAAAACTTATTTTTCACTTTCGCAATACTTGTAGTCACTGTTTCAGATTAAAAATTGAGAAGATGGAATTACCTATATAAGGGGAGAACCAAGTTGGTAAGGCTTCAGGGAGGTTCACTGACAGTTTTATTTCTTTTTTCTTTTTCTTTTTAAATGACAGCTGAGGGCAAAGAGATTATTTTTTGTTTTTTGAGACAGGATCTTGCTCTGTCACCCAAGCTGAAGTGCAATGGAGTGATCATAGCTCACTGCAACCTTGAACTCCTGGGCTCAAGGGGTCCTCCAGCCTCAGAATTAAAAAAAAAAAATTTTTTTTATTGTGAAATACATGTAACAAAATTTGCCATTTTAACCATTTGTGAGTGTACAATTCGATGGCATTAATTGCATTCACAATATTATGTTTTATCTCCTCTACTATTTCCAAACTTTTATTACCCCAAACAGAAATTCTGTTTTACTTCCCATTTTCCCTACCTCCCAGCACCTGGTAACCTTTAATCTACTTTCTATCTCTGAGTTTGTCTACTCTAGGTACCTCATATAAGGGAATCACATAATTTATCCTTTTGTGTCTTGCTTATTTCATTTGGCATACTACTTTCAAGGTTCATCCATATTGTATCGTGTGTCAGACCTTTGTTCATTTTCATAGCTGAATAATATTCCATGGGATTCATTTACCATAGTCTCTCCCTTATCTGCAGGGGATATGTTCAAAGACCCTCATTAGATGCCTGAAACTGCAAATAAAGTAGAACAATTGTAACAATATGCCAGCATCACTACTCTTATCCTTTGGGACCATTATTAAGTAAAACAAAGGTTACTTGAACTCAGACACTGCAATCTGATAAATAAATTGGCTCCCGAGTGACTAATGGGCAGTAGAATATATGGTATAGATATGCAGGACAGGGATGATTCACATCCCAGGCAGGAGGGAGCACGGTAGCATGAGATTTCATCATGATACTGAGAGAACGGCACTCGATTTAAAATTTATGAACTGTTTGTTTCTGTAATTTTCTATTTAATATTTTCAGACTTTTGTTGACCATGGGCAACCGAAATCATGGAAAGTAAAACTATGGATAAGTGAGGACTGCTGTACCACATTTTGTTTATCTGTTCCTCTGTTGATGGATACTGGGTTGTTTTCACCTTTTGGCCATTGTGAATAATACTGCACTGAACATTACCTACAAGTGTCTGTTTCAGCCCTGTTTTCCATTCTTTTGGTATATACCAAAGAGTTGGATTGCTGGATCATGTGATAATTCTGTTTAATTTTTTTGAAGAACCACCATACTCTTATCTACAGCAGCTGCACCATTTTTACATTCTTACCAGCAATGCACCAGATTCCAATTTCTCCACATCCTAGCCAACATGTGTTGTTTTGTTTAATTATTCTCATTCCATCCTCATAGGTGTGGAGTGGTATCTCATTGTGATTTTGATTTGTTGAGCATCTTTTCATGTGCAGATTGGCCATTTGCATATCTTTTTTGGAGATTGTATGTTCAAATCCTTTATTATTATTTATATATTTATTTATGAATGAATGAATGACAGAGTCTCACTCTTGTCACCCAGGCTGGAGTACAGTGGCAGGATCATAGCTCACTGCAGCCTTGAATTCCTGGGCACAAAGGATCCTTCTATCTCAGCCTTCCAAATAGCTGGGGCTACAGGTGCATGCACGTCACAACATCTGGCTAATTTTTTTTCTTTTTTAGACAGTCTTCACTCCATTGACCTGGGAGTGCAGTGATGTCATCATAGCTCACTGCAACCTCGAACTCCTGGGCTCAAGCAATCCTCCTGCCTCAGCAGTGTCCAGGGTAGCTAGGACTACAGGCACACATCACCATGCCCAACTGATTTTTTCTATTTTTAGTAAAGATGGGGTCTTACTCTATCTTTTTGATGAATTGATCGTATAATGTCCTTCTTTGTCTTTTATGACAGTTTTTGACTTAAAGTCTATTTTAATTTTTATTTTGTGTAAATATGTTTGTTTAGGTATTTCCTTGTGATTACATGGGGATTACATTTAACATCCTAAATTTATAACACTCTCATTTGAATTGATACTAATTTAACTTCAGTAGCATACAAAACACAGCTTCTGTGGCTGTCTAAAAAAAGAAAATAGCATATAAAATTCTGCTTATGTACTGCTCTGTCCCCATTTATGTTATTGTCACAAATTACATCTTTGTACATTGTGTGCCCAATAATGTAGATTTATAATTATTTTATGCATTTGTCTATTAAGTCATGTAGGAAATAAAAAGTGGGCTTACAAACCAAAAAATACAATAATATTGGCTTTTCTACTACCCCATGTAGTTACCTTTACCAGAGGATTTTTTCTTTTTTTTTGAGACAGTCTCACTCTGCTGTCCTGAGTAGAATGCTGTGGTGTCAGCCTAGTTCACAGCAACCTCCAACTCCTAGGCTCAAGTGATCCTCCCGCCTCAGCCTCCCAAGTAGCTGGGACTTAGCGTGCCACCACGCCCGGTTAATTTTTTTATTTTTAGTAGAGATGAGGTCTCACTCTTGCTCAGGCTGGTCTCGAACTTCTGAGCTCAAACAATCCACCTGGCTCGGCCTCCCAGAGTGCTAGGATTACAGGCAGGAGCCACTGGACCGGGCTAGATTTTTATTTCTTCGTAGGACTTCAAGTAACTGTGTGGTGTCCTTTCATTGCAGCCCTTTCCCTGGCTCATGGAGCTTCATCTTACATGTATGCATCCTTAGTCTTCAGCAAAGACTTAAGAAACCCTAAGCAGATTTCCCAACCTTTTTTTCTGTGTATCTCCCTTCTCTCTACAACTCTGCCTTGCAATTTCCAGCTGCCTCAGTCTCCCTGATCTCTCTAGTCTCTCTCCTCAACCAGTGAGATTTCAGTGCTCTGTTTGGGACTCCTCCCTGCTCTAAACTGTACTTCCCAGGCAGAAAGCCAAGGAGATAAGTAGGGCTCACTTCATTTATTTCCCTTGCTTGGGGAATCATAATTCTGCACTGCCGTTGTCCAATGTCTGAAACAGTTTACGGCAGCAGGGTAAATCCTATCCATGTTATTTCATCATGGCTGGAAGTGGAGGTGATAATTATGTTAGTATTCAACAAAATAAAAAGAGCAACCGAGAGCATTCTTAAGGAATAATTTAGCTCACTTTGTAATAATAAACTGTTTGATTCACCAGCAAGCTACAGTGGTTCTGAATGTGTATACCCCTAATGAAATAGTTAAAAATATATAAAGCAAAATTAAACTGCAGGGTAACATGGATAACTTCAGTGTAAAGTAGTGGAAGAGTTGAACAGTGTAATGAACAACTTGATTTAATGGACATATGTACAGAATGCCATGCACAATAATTGAATATTATAGTTTCTTTCAAGCACACATGGGACACGTATATAAATTGAATCCATAGTAAGCTAAAAAAGCAAATCTCAGAAAGTTTAAAAGGCTTCTCAGGACTCTGACCCCAGTGTGATTATATTACAAATTAATCAAAAGGCCTCAAACATTACTCATTTTAAGAAACTCTCATGATCCAAATAAGAAAGTCCATGTAAATTAGGTATTCAGAACTGAATTACAATACAAATATTAATTTGAAGGAAATTTACAATTTTTAGAAAGGTCATATAGTATAGCCTTGTACTTAGGTGTGTACTTAAGTACACAGCTTAAGTTAGAAAAAAAGAAGTGGAAAGGAGACAGCAATCACATAATAGAGAGAATCCACAAAGCCAAACCTTGGAGCTTTCAAAAGACCAAAATAAAAATAGTAAAGTCTTTGGTGAAGTTTCTCAAGAACAAAAGAGGACATAAAATAATATTAAGGATGAAAAGGGCACACAACCGCAGATAACTAAGTTGATTGAAAAGAGAATGTGGGTCAGGCACGGTGGCTCACGTCTGTAATCCTAGCACTTCTGGAGGCCGAGGTGGGCGGTTCCACTCTTTCAAGTAAAAATTGCATCAATAAAAATGTCTAGTTTACCTAGCAACTTAAAAACCACAGGTGATTTTCCCCCAGACATGCTTTCAAGAGTTGATTTTTATACTGTTTCATCAAGGATATTCTTAATGAAACCAGTAATTTTTTTAACAGTGAGAGAGATGGTGAAAAGCACAAGGATCACTAGTATAATTTGGTGCCATTGCCTTAATTTGTGAATGAGCAGATCTATCCACTATTTCTTTTACAGTACCAGTGCAAATGTCAACATAGTGAAAATGTCAAATAACATCTTAGTCTTTACTATCTAGACCCTTTGAAGTAGTCACAGGGACCCCCAGGGGTCTGCAGACCATATTTTGAGAACTGCTATTCTAAGGAATGAATTGCTAGGTTGTAGGCAGGTAAATATTAAACTTGACCAGCTAGTGCTAAAGTTGTCTTCCAATGTATTGCCAATTTACACTAGCTAAGAAAAACATACAGGGTTTCTACTGATATATATGTTGACCAATACATAGAATTGCCACTTTTGACTATCTATTGGGTGTAATAAGGTATTTAATTAAGATATTGATTTGCAAATCCCAGATTACCAATGAGGTTAGATTTCATATGTGTATAATCATTGTCTTGGCATGGTCTTCCAAATAGCCTTTTCTTTTCCTCATGTGACTCTTGCAATTGATCAAATCTCCCTATATGCCCAAATATAGTTTTAGGCTCCCTTCCATCAGTCGATTTCTTTTTCGCTCCAATATTACATTACCTTAATTAATAATTTTTAACAAAATTCATCATCTGGTAGTGTAGGTCCTCCTACCTTAATTTTTCAGGAGTGTGTTGGATCTTTTGGAGCCTTAGAAAACCTTACAATCAGCCCAGGCAAGGTGGATCTCGCCTGTAATCCTAGCAGTTTGGGAGGCCGAGGCGGAAGGATACTCACTTGAGCCTAGAAGTTCAATATTAGCCTGAGCAAGAACAATACCCTATCACTACAATAGTAGAGTGCTTATAGTCCCAGCTACTCAAGAGGCGTAGGCAGGAGGATCACTTGAGCCCAGAAATTGGAGGTTTCAGTGAGCTGTGATCACTCTACTGCCATATACAATCAGGTTGTTAAGCCTTCAAAAAAATGCTGTTGAGATTTTAATTGAAATTACCCATATCTGATATTGAACTCCTAAATCTGTGGAATACATCTGTCATGTGCCTCTCCTGCTTTTAAGGTTTTCTTTAATGCCTTTCATACTTAGATATTGGGCAGACATTTCTTCAAAATGCAGGAAATGAATCAGTATTTGTCAATAATAAAATTTTAGCTTTCAAGCACAAATTAGAATTTCAGAAAACTTGTATCTATCACTGAGTCCTCAATAGTATCCCCATAGGTTGTACTAGGGAAAAACTCCGGGAGGGGGGGTGCGGGTAGAGAGGAGACCAACAGAGACACGGGTAAATTTTGATGTATTTACATAACAAAGTAATATAACCCAGGAAAAATGAATGAAATATAGCTACACGTAAAAACATGTAGCTGTATTAAAAACTCATTGAGTAAGTGGGAGGAAGATAATTCTCAGAAGACTAAACACAGTATAGTATTTAGGGATGTATATATGTGTGACTAATAAAAACTGAAGCAAAGATATTTACAAGTCAGATAGCAGTTTTCTTTTGGCGGAAGGGGGCATGAGGATAAGCAAGCCTGGGCTAAGGGAAGAGCCCACAACTAGATTCAGGCATAATGAAAATGTTCTAGTGCTTAGATTTGGTGGTAGGTTTACAGATGTGCATTTTATGTTTTTGTTTGTAACTTACGTACGTTTAACACTTTTTTATTGTATTACATGATAAATTTTAAACGTTTAAAAAATTTAAAAAGATAGTGGGCATATGGATCTTTTTTAAAGATACATTGTAGGCTGGGAACGGTGGCTCACGCCTGTAATCCTAGCACTTTGGGAGACTAAGGTAGGACGATTGCTTGAGGCCAGGAGTTCAAGACCAGCCTTAGCAATAGTGAGGCCCCACCTCTACAAAACAGAAAAATTAGCCAGGTGTGGTGGCACACATCTGTAGTCCCAGCTACTCAGAAGCCTGAGCAGGAGATCACTGAGCGCAGAGTTTAGGTTAGGGAGGTACTACACCCAGCTAGCTGGCTACAGAGCAAGACCCTGTCATAAAAAAAAGAAAAAAGATAGATGGTATTCCACAGAATTGGGTATACTATGTTTAACCTGATTGGGTTAAAGGTATCTGAGTTTATTGGATAAGTCATATATCTGTTCTTTCTTGTAAAATTGGGATCATCAAAACTTGTGAGCATTTACCAATTTACCATGCACCTAGCATTGTTCAAAAGTACTTCACATGTATTAACCTATTTAATTCTTATAACAACTTATGAAATAGGAACTGTTATGTCCCTGTTTTGTTGTTTGTTTTTTGTTTTTTGAGACAGAGTCTTGCTTTGTTGCCCAGGCTAGAGTGAGTGCCGTGGCGTCAGCCTAGCTCACAGCAACCTCAAACTCCTGGCTCCAAGCAATCCTTTCTGCCTAGCCTCCACAGTAGCTGGACTACAGGCATGCGCCCACATGCCAGCTAATTTTTCTACATATATTAGTTGCCGACGTTAATTCTTTGTATTTATAGGTAGACAGGGTCTTGCTCTTGCTCAGCGCTGGTTTCAAACTCCTATGACGCTGCATCATCACCACCTCGGCCTCCCAGAGTGCTAGGATTACAGGCGTGAGCCACCGGCGCGCCTATGTCCCTGTTTTAAAGATAAAATTCTGAAGCATAGAGGTTAAAGCAACTTGTTCAAAGTTGACAGCTAACAAATAGAGCCAGGATCTGAACCCAGACAATCTAGCTCCAGGGCCCACACCTTTAACTAATAATATGCTTATACCAATTGTTCTAATACCACCTATTTAACCAGCTTATTTATAATTAAAGGAGACTGTATACGTACGTGTGTGTGTGTGTGTGTGTGTGTGTGTGTGTGTGTGTGTGTGTGTGTGTGTGTGTGTGTTGGTAGGGATGGTGTTAGAGATGTCAGGTGCTTATTGAGAGTATTGGGCCCTCTTGAGAGCTGTGGTCCTCCTGGAATGGGGGGGGCAGTGAATGGTGGGTATAGACAGAAACCTGCTGAAAAGGAAATGCCGTCCTTTTAAGAGTTTTTCACGTGTGTTTGTATCTTCTCTTCTTCTAGAGACCATGGCGAGCCCAGGGAAAGACAATTATCGAATGAAGAGCTATAAGAACAATGCCCTAAACCCTGAGGAAATGAGACGAAGAAGAGAAGAAGAGGGCATTCAGCTCCGGAAGCAGAAACGGGAGCAACAAGTGGGTTAACTGGAGTATTCTCAAACATACTGTTCAGGACAGCTATCCAGTCCCTATGGTTGGCCTTCACCTTGGGCACTCACTTTCCCCTCAGCAAAATAGCTTGCTTAGTAGGCCAACCATCCAATTTCCTTTGTTGTAAAAAAAAAAATGTTGGAAGCTTTAAGAAAAGCCCCTTTCCACAAGTTAGACAAACTTAGACATCATTTATGTCTTTAGTATGACATTTCAGCTATTAGGCCTTCAGTATAACATTCAGAATAACAGATGTTAGACCTGGCCTTCAACACCCAGCTCCAAGCCAGGCCCTTTTAAGAGGTTCATCAGCCTTTCTGGCTGCCCTACTTCTTTCTGTTTTCTTGAGTTTGTTGTCTGTAAGTATCCCCAGGACTGAGACTATATTAATGCCTCACCATCTGTACTCCCATCCCACACCACCACCAGATTGGTACATTGCTTAGGTCTAGATCCAGTCACCTGACCTGGTTTACCTATCCTCTTGCTATACCATTATTCGTTTCCTTCAAGGACTTCATACACATCATCTTTTTTGCAAAGTGAATAGAAATCTTTAAACATTTTTCTTTTTTTTGAGACAGAGTCTTGCTTTGTTGCCCAGGCTAGAGTGAGTGCTGTGGCGTCAGCCTAGCTCACAGCAACCTCAAACTCCTGGGCTCAAGCAATCCTGCTGCCTCAGCCTCCCGAGTAGCTGGGACTACAGGCATGCACCACCATGCCCGGCTAATTTTTTCTATATATATTGGCCAATTAATTTCTTTCTATTTATAGTAGAGATGGGGTCTTGCTCTTGCTCAGGCTGGTTTCGAACTCCTGACCTCAAGCAATCTGCCCGCCTCGGCCCCCCAGAGTGCTAGGATTACAGGCATGATCCACTGCACCCAGCCTTTAAACGTTTTTTTTACTTATAAAAATGATCTCTTAAATAATGCTAACAATTAGATATACCATGGAAAGAAAAGCCTTTGCATATCTTTCCATGTCAGCATTCAGCACTCCTTACCTGCATGGGATATGTTCCAAGACCCCCAGTGGATCCCTGAAACTGGGGAGTACTGACCCCTATATATACTATGTTTTTTTCCTATACTTTCATCTTTCCTTTTTCTTTCTTTTTTTTGGACAGAGTCTCACTTTGTTGTCCAGGCTAGAGTGAGTGCCGTGGGTCCAGCCTAGCTCACAGCAACCTCACACTCCTGGCGCTTGGAGTGATCCTTCTGCCTTAGCCTCCCGAGTAGCTGGGACTACAGGCATGCGCCACGAATGCCCGGCTAATTTTTTATATATATTAGTTAGCCAATTAATTTCTTTCTATTTATAGTAGAGACGGGTTCGTCGCTTTGCTCAGGCTGGTTTTTGAACTCCTGGACCTTGAGCAATCCGCCCGCCTCAGCCTCCCAAGAGCTAGGATTACAGGCGTGAGCCACAGCGCCCGTCGCTTTTTTCCTATACTTTCATCTTTCCTTTTTCTTTCTTTTTTTTTTACTTGCCTCTGACAGCTTTGTGAAGTCTAATACTTTCATCTTTTCACCTAAAGAAACAATTTACAGATTCTCTTTAGCATATCCAAATCGCCAGCACCACTGCTTTTGCACTTTGGGGCCATTTTTAAGTAAAATAAGGGTTACTTGAACACAAGCACTGTAGTCTGATAACGGAGTCAGCTGCTAGGTGACTAACGGGCAGTAGCATATGCAGCATGGATACACTGGACAAAGTGATGATTCACATCCCAGGGAAGACAGAGTGTGATAGTGTGAGATTTCATCACACTATTCAGAATGACAATTTAAAATTTAGGAATTATTTATTTCTGAGATTTTTTATTTAATATTTTCAGACCACAATTTACAACAGGTAACTGAAACTATGGTGAGCAAAACTATGGATAATGGGGGACTACTGTATAAAGTTTGACCTCATTTTCTCAACTGCTCTAATATTTCCTTGTCACTTATGCCATAATTTAACATTGGGTTGTTCTTTGTTTTCTTTGATTCAGTGAGTAATCATACTGCTATCTCTTCATTTTAAACTTTCAGCTTTTTAAACGGAGAAATGTGGAGCTGATTAATGAAGAAGCTGCCATGTTTGATAGTCTCCTCATGGACTCCTATGTGAGCTCTACCACTGGGGTAAGGCCCTTGCATGCGCCTCAGGCAGGCCTGAGAAGTACCTGCTTCTAAGAATAGAAATTGGGCAGTTCATGTCATAGCTAGTAACCATGCTCCTTCCTCCATGGGCCCTTTTGTGACTGGTCAGCTTAAGTAGTCAACAAGGATTTGTCTCTGATGGAAATATCTGAGGAAACATTTAAAGGAAGCCATCTGTTGCCCCAGAAGGAATTACTTTCTTTTGTTTTTTGGGTTTTGTTGTTTTGTTTTGTTTTTGAGACAGAGTCTCACTCTGTTGCCTGGGCTAGAGTGCCATGGTAATCAGCCTAGCTCACAGCAACCTCAAACTCCTGGACTCAAGCCATCCTCCTGCCTCAGCCTCCCGAGTAGCTGGGCTACAGGTGTGCACTACCATGGCCAGCTAATTTTTTCTATTTTTTTTTAGTTGCCCAGCTAATTTTTTCTATTTTTAGTAGAAACAGGGTCTCACTCTTTCTTACTCAGGCTGATCTTGAACTCCTGAGCTCAACCAATCCTCCCACCTAGGCCTCCCAGAGTGCTAGTAATTACAGGTGTGAGCCTCAGTGCCCAGCCAGGAATCACTTTCAAATGTGCCAACTGGAAGCAGCCGTGGATTAAACAAACCCCTTCTCCTGAGCCTTTTATTGCCATTCTCTTCCCCTCAAGTCTTAGAAAACAGGATGTCAAGCAGGATTATGTGCTCACATTTGGCTCTAGTGTTGGTTTGCAAAGTCTTAAATTTGTTTTTTGTTCTAGGAGAGTGTGATCACAAGAGAGATGGTGGAGATGCTCTTTTCTGATGATTCTGACCTGCAGTTAGCAACCACACAGAAATTTCGGAAACTGCTCTCCAAAGGTACAGAGCCTGGTCCCTCTGAGAGACCTGTTTTTTAGCCTCCTATTTTTTTTCACTGATGTTATCAACTACTCTCCCCCTGCTCATTCTGCTCTAGCCCTACTGGCCTTGGTGTTCCTTGTATAAGGCAGGCACATTCCCACTTCTGCACTGAATATTCCTTCTACCTGATGTCCTCTACTCCCAAATATCTATGTTGCAACTCCACTTCTATTATCGAATCCTACCTTCTTAATAAAGCCTACCCTGACCCCTATCTAAAATTGCAAGCTACCCCCACCCTCAGCATTTTTTATCTCTTTGCCTTGCCCTATATATTCTTTTTCCGCTCTTTATATTTATTATCATCTGACATATTAAAATGTCTCTTCCAACTAGGATGTAAGCTTTATGTGGGCAGGGACTTGGGGTTTTGTTAACTCCTATATCCTCAATATATAGAACTGTATGGTACATAATAGATGTTTGATAAAAATTTGATGTGTGATAGGAAAATACCTCTTGTTTCAGTGTATTAAGCAGTCCTCCCATGAAGAGATGACTGGTCTGTCTGAGATGGAAAATGTTTAGACTAGGGTTGTTTATCCCTTGAGCTTTCCTCACCGACTTAATCATTCTTTGCTTATGTTCAGTAAGCCAAAGGTGAGCATACCTAAATTAGGATTGGCTCTACTCTTTAGCATTCCAGCTATCAAAGACAAGCAGGTATTGTTACAACCACCTTACCAGGAGGAAGTTTGAGAATATTCACAAGGGTAGTCAGAGGTATCTATTCCAAGATGATTGTTGTGGAACAAAAGGGAGAAAAAAAGAAGTATCTAGGAAGAGTTGTGAGCTGACCCCTGTGAAAGGATCAGACAAAGCCTCTCTTGACTTTTTCTTTTCCCTTCTCCCTCTTCCAGAGCCTAGTCCTCCAATAGATGAAGTTATCAATACACCAGGAGTGGTGGATCGGTTTGTGGAGTTTCTGAAGAGGAATGAGAATTGTACATTACAGGTAAGGCCAGCGGGGTAGGAGTTATTAGATGAAAGCCCTTCCAAGAAATTGCAGTGGGATATTTCTACAGACACATCTCTCAGGAATAGACAAGTAATATGAGGAACCGTTTAAGAGAAACCATCAGTTTGCTAACATGTTATTGGCTTCAGTGAAAAAGAACCAAAATCTCTTCCTTAAAACAATCTCAACGGAAAGATACTATAGTAAGTCAGACTGATCATTCAGTTATATATCAGAGGGTATAGTCCACTTCTATCTGTATGGCCTGAGGCACACTGATTAGCCTTTCCGGGTCTCCCTTCTCAGAGACAAGTGATGGGTCAATTCATTGAAACGTGCCAGAAACTCAGCTGAAAGGACTTTGCGAAACCCATCACACGCTAATCCTCATTTCAGAAATGAAGAAAATCAACTATCCTTGTCTTGGGGTAGTGCTACTGTCCAATGAACAAATAGTGAGGGCAGTACTGCTAATGCCTACACAACACGCCCGCATCAACTAGAGGTTTTTTGGGGTTTTTTTTGTTTTTTTAGTTTTTTTTATTTATTTATTTATTTATTTATTTCGGCATATTATGGGGGTACAGATTTTAAGGTTTCAATAAATGCGCATTCCCCCCTCCCCCCACAAGTCTGAGTCTCCAGCATGACCATCCCCCAGATGGTGCACATCTCATTCATTATATATGTATATACCCACTCCCCTCCCCCTCCCACCTCAACTAGAGTTTTGCTTTACTTTGGTGCAATTTTTGGAAAAAAGAAAAACCTCTTTTCCACAATTAAAAAAAGAAAAGAAATGAAGCTCAGGATATAAAAAGGTGACTTGCCATCCATGGGTGCTATGGTAATGCAGGGCTAAATTTGGGACCATTGAGGCCCAGTTTGTTTTTCTCATTATGTCACATTATTGCCTCTTCCCACTATTTAGAGGGAAGAGGGGAGAGGTTTGTATTTTGTGTGTATTTGTATTTTGTATTTAAATTCATGAGTAAGAGGCTTGCTTATATTTTGTGGGGGATTTTTAATTCATGGGCAAGAGGCTTACTGTTCTAAGGCAGCTGATAGGCATGGCTGCTAAGTCTGGAATGACCTTTCAATCATTGCTTAATCTCACTTTCAGTTTGAAGCTGCCTGGGCTCTAACAAACATTGCCTCTGGAACCTCTCAGCAGACCAAAATTGTCATTGAAGCAGGAGCCGTCCCCATTTTTATAGAGCTGCTTAACTCAGACTTTGAGGATGTACAGGAACAGGTAATACTTAGATTTGTCTTAATTCTTGATGGTGCCTACAGTATAATAAAAAATATATTTGGCCTTTGTCCTGATTTTTGGCACAGTGCTCTTAAAACCCTTGAGATTTTCTGAGTGATAAGAGTGTCTTTTATTTATAGAGCCCCTTTAGAACACACCTGATTCTATGTTAATGAGATAAATCATTCTTGGTAGCCTTAGAACAGAAGAACCAAACATAGGATTCAAAGGTGGGAACTCTTAGCCCTATGCTCCAACCTGAGGGAGGGAAGGGGATTATAAAAACTTTTGAGCAATGAGATTCAGAGAGATTCCAGGTTAGTGAACACATTCCCAAATATTGATGTTTTGGTAAGGTGGCAGGGAGTATGGAAACTCTGCTCTCCCACCCACTACTCTGTATGTACCTTGCCTTACCTGCCCTCTGCATCTCTTACATTTGGCTGTTCCTGAGTTGTATCCTTTTAATAAACTGGTAAGTGTAAGTAAAGTTTTTCTTGAGTTCAGTTTTAGCAAATTACCAAACTGAGGAGGGGAATGTAGAGATGACCAATTTATAGCTGTTTGGTCAGAAGTACAGGACTTAAAACTGGTGTCTGAAGTGGGGGCAGTCTTGTGGGACCTTAACCTGTGGGGTCTGTGCTGACTCCAGGAGTTAGTGTCAGAATTGAATTAAATTGTTGGACACACAGTGGTATCAGCAAATTGATGGCTGTTGTGGAAAAAACTCCATACATTTGTTGTCAGAAGTATTATTGGGAAAAAAAAGACATCAATCATGGAGATAAAGATATAACTTCTGTTTCTTCCACTGGATTCTTGCTAGTTGGTCAGAATCTTATTAACACATACAGGATTGGTCCAAGGCCTCTATAAGAATGCAACTTTCTGATCACTTTCTTCTCTTTTCAGAGGCGGGATTGGGGAGGTATTGGTTTGGTTTCTCTGGCTAGTGCAGATGACAGCCTGTTGTCTCCTCTGAACTGGGATCTCCCATGAGAAAGGTCCTTGTAGGGCAAGTGCCCAATAAGGATTTTAACAGGGAGGTTGCCTGAGCTTGTTTAGTGTGTCTCAGGCCTTGACATGGTTCTTAGCCATCATTCTCACTGTGTAGTTGTGGCTATATAGTACTCACAGAAGCTACCAGGTTCTGTGGGTGACAGTTCCATCATCCCCTTTTCAGGCAGTCTGGGCACTGGGAAACATAGCTGGAGACAGCTCCGTTTGCCGAGATTACGTCTTGAACTGTTCCATCCTTAATCCTTTGTTAACGTGAGTAATTGTGATCATCTGCACCTGGGTATCTAAAGGGTAGCCATGTGACAGATCATTTAGGGACAGCTTACTTGATCCTTTAAGATAATAGGTAAATACAAAAACTCTGAAGATACATTCTGATTACCAAAGTAAAAGATAGCTATCTTTTGAGATTAAAAAGATTGTGCCACTGGTATATGCCAAGGAGGATCTTATTTCTCACTTAATGGTACTGTAGAACCTGATGTTGGTCATTTCTCCCTCATTGTTGAGCCAGGAGAAAGAGGCAGGACTAGCCCATCTGGCAAAATCCAGACTTCTCTACAGAATGCATTGATTTGCTTTGGGGTTATACATAGGTACATTGGACAGCTCTGTTGTAAATCATAAATCCAAGACCCTAGGAAGGGTCATCTGGATCTGTCTCCCATCCCTCCCCCATATACTCTTAGAGTAAGCTACATCTAAACTAAAACAGATGAATGAACTGTTCTGCAGAGACCACAATCTCATAGGCTACCACTGTCACTTTCTTGGACCCTTCACAGAAAAGCATTCCATACTGCAGGGCTAAATCTCTCATACCAGATCTTCAGCTTTTATTTCCAAAGAGAATACTACTCCTTGTCCTGGATTTGTGACCAGGGTTAGGAGCACAGTATATCCTACTTTAAAAGTTTTACAGGCTTTCTTAATATCTAGCCCTTTGTTTTGTCCCTATTATCTATGGTATTAACTAACCACAGCTGGTCCTGCACAAAATTACTCTGTGCAGAGGTTGACCTTCTGGCCTACACCTGCTCTGTTAACATAGCTCTATGAGTAGGAAGAAACAGATAGGCTTTTCTTCCACTGGTCATGGAAAAAAAAAAAAAAGAAAAAGAAACAGATAGGCTGCTAGAATCTTGGGGTCTGATTGGATTTGTCCCCAACATTCATTGGCAGTAGCACTATGCCAAGGCATCAATGCTCAGGATCTGTCTTTGCTGTTTCCTTCAGACTCCTTACCAAGTCCACACGACTGACAATGACACGGAATGCAGTCTGGGCCCTGTCAAACCTCTGTCGAGGGAAGAACCCACCCCCAGAGTTTGCAAAGGTAAGCTACTTACCGGTCCCTGAGCAATAGCAGGTTCCTTCGTATGGAGTTTTTAAGTCTTTGGGGTACCCCTTAGAGTCTCAAATCATGGGAAACTGAAAGAGGCAATTGTCAGTGAAGTAGGTGATCTTGTATACCTCGATGGTAAAGTGAAAAGGTAAGTCTGAAGGTTCTTTGTAGTGGAGATCCCCAGGGTTGAGAATTACTTGTGGAAGAGGGAGTAGCAGTGTTAGGGTTAGTGATGGAGCTGTTGTAGTCTTGTCTGCATGAGTCTGTCTCACTCTGCTTCCAACAGGTCTCTCCTTGTTTGCCGGTACTGTCTCGCCTACTCTTCAGCAGCGATTCAGACTTGCTGGCAGATGCTTGCTGGGCCCTCTCTTATCTGTCAGATGGCCCCAATGAGAAAATCCAGGCAGTCATAGACTCTGGAGTGTGCCGGAGATTGGTAGAGCTGCTGATGTGAGTAGTCTCAGTTAGAGAGGGTACAGATTGTCTGAGCTTCTGCAAGCTCAGACTAAAGAGCTGCATTAGCAGTTTGCTGTCCTACTCAGTGGTCTGGAGCCATGAGAATGCTGCCAGCCTTGGTGGTCAGCAGGGCTAAAAATGGTGTGCTTGCTCTCTGCTGATCAGATCTCCCTCTTCTGTAGGCACAACGATTATAAAGTGGCTTCCCCTGCCCTGAGAGCTGTGGGTAACATCGTCACTGGGGATGACATCCAGACCCAGGTAAGGAGGAGGATGCAGGATCTTAGACCAGCTATGGGAGAGCACTGAGGAAAGCTGCCTGGCGACAAAAGTCTTCCTGCTAAGGGCTCTAGTACTGATGGGAGGCAGCGAGTGAAAAGATGTAGCTCTGTCATTCTCTAAATGATTATGGGAAACTTGGTTCCGCTTTTTCTTCTATATATTGGAAATACATCATCTTCCAGTGGATGCTCACAAAGGAAAACTAAATGGAATAACTGGACTTACTGCCTGGGGCATTGTAAGGTGGTTAAGTTTGAGTCGTGTCCCTTTGAGATATTGAAAGCAATGGAACTCCACCCCTGCTTTCTAGATCTTTAGGGTCACTTGGATACTATGTTGTATTAAAATACACCATTTTAACCATTTCAGTGGAGTTTGTACATTCATGCTGTTATTTCATCATCATTGCCATCCATCTACAGAACTTTTTCATCATCTCAAACCAACTCTGTACCCATTAAACAATAACTCCCCATTCCTCCCTCCCCCTCAAAACCTAGTAACCACCATTCTACTTTCTGTCACTATTAGTTTGACTACTCTAGGTACCTCATATAAATGGAATCATACAGTATTTGTCCTTTTTCATCTGGTTTATTTCATTTAGCTTAATTAACATCTTCAAGATTGATCCGTATTGTAGCATGTGTTGGAATTTCCTTCCTTTTTAAGGCTGCATAATATTTCATTGTATGTATACACCATATTTTATTTATTCATTCATCTATCAATGGACATTTGGGTTGCTTCCACCTTTTAGCTATTGTGAATAATGCTGTTATGAACTTTGATATACAAATATTTGTTGGAGTCCCTGTTTTCAGTTCTATTGGGTATATACTCAGAAGTGGAATTACTGGATCATATGGTCATTTTATATTTAACTTTTTTTAGGACCCACTGTACAGTTTTGCACAACTGCTCTACCATTTTACATTCCCATCAACAATGTACATGTTCCAGTTTCCTCACAGCTTTGCCAATGCTTGTTATTTTCTGGGTTTTGGGGGGGGGTTGTTTTATTTTGTTTTTCTTTTTTTTTTTGAGACAGTCGTGCTCTGTTGCCTGGGCTAGAGTGCCGTGGCGTCAGCCTAGCTCACAGCAACCTCAAACTCCTGGCTCAAGCTATCCTTCTACCTCAGCCTCCCGAGTGGTTGGGACTGCAGGCACGTGCCACCATGCCCGGCTAATTTTTTTCTTTATATTTTTAGTTGGGCAATTAATTTCTTTCTATTTATAGTAGAGACGGGGTCTCACTCTTGCTCAGGCTGGTTTCGAACTCCTGACCTCGAGCGATCCTCCTGCCTAGGCCTCCCAAAGTGCTAGCATTACAGGCGTGAGCCACTGCACCTGGCCTTAGTCTGGTGTCTTGTTGTACAAAAGTTTTAAATTTTGATTAAGTTCAATTTATCTATAATAATTTTTTTCCCTGTGCTTTTGGTTTTCTAGGTCATTCTTAACTGTTCAGCCCTCCCTTGCCTTCTCCACTTGTTGAGCAGCCCTAAGGAGTCAATCCGGAAGGAAGCTTGCTGGACCATTTCAAATATCACTGCTGGCAACAGGGCTCAAATACAGGTAGAACAAGCAGAAAAGTCAGGAGGTATAGGGAGCTGTAGAAAACATGAGAGGTAATGGGATATTTGCTTTCAGAAGAAAGAATTTGTTTCCCTTTAGAAATTGGAGTCAGTATGTGCTGTTGGTCAAAGCATCTGTGTAGTTGAAGCTCAGTTCATCTGTAGCCTGTCATCTATCTGGGAAAAACAAAAGAGAACTCCCATGAGGGGAACATGTCTAACTAAATCTTAGCTGATTTGGGGGCTGGATTTGCTTTCTTCTCTTGAAGTGACATTCTCCCTCCATCCCCCTTCCCTCAATCCTCTCTCAGGCTGTTATAGATGCAAATATCTTCCCTGTGTTGATTGAAATTCTTCAGAAAGCAGAGTTTCGTACAAGAAAAGAGGCAGCCTGGGCCATCACCAATGCCACATCAGGAGGAACCCCTGAGCAGATCAGGTATCCTATTCCTTTCCCATTGTCTTGAATGGTATGTGTGCTCTCCCTGTTTGCTCATGGTTTACAGATGACCTCTAAACTGCTTTTGGTCAGATTGATCTGCCCCCTATTCCAGCTGTAACAGGGTTTAACTGGTAAGCTGCTACAGTGACACTGGAATCTGGAATAGATTCTTGTAGATGATGATGTTTGGTACCTCTTTTCCCTCCTGGAGAATAGAAACCTATGACATAGACATCTATCCTTCCTCTATCTTTTCCTATCCTCTAGAGGACTGAAATCTGTGCAGTTCTCAATTATTCATACAAATGAAGGGGAACCATGCTGTAGCTTAGTCAGAGAAGCTTGTTTGGGAAATCATTGTGGGGGATGAGACTTGAGAGAAGCAAATAGAAAGCTGTTTTGTGTATGTGCTTTTTTATTTTAGTTTCCATTATCTGACCATTAATAGGAGTGATGGGAATTGGAAAAGCCTCTTACCCTTCACTTGCCTACTAAGGTCTTATAGTCAGTATATATAAAGCCTTAGGAGGCTGGACACAGTGGCTCATGCGTATAATCTGGGAGGCTGAAGCAGGAGGATTGCTTGAGGTCAGGAGTTTGAGACCAGCCTGAGCAAGAGCTAGACCCCCCTCTACCAAAAGTAGAAAAAATTAGCCAGGCATGCTGGCACACACCTATAGTCCCAGCTACTCGAGAGGCTGAGGTAGGAGGATCACTTGAGCCCAGGAGTTCGAGGTTGCAGTGAGCTACAATGATGCCACTGCACTCTAGCCTGGGCAACAGAATGAAACTCTGCCTCAAAAAAATATGTAAAATAAAGCCTTAGGAGGAAAGTGATAGCCACTGAGTTGACCTTTGAAGGATAAATATGGGGTTATAAAAGGCCTCTTATACAAGGAAAAGCATAAGTAAAGGTATAAGAATTAGAAATATGGAGTCCTTTAGAAGTGTTCTGGGAATGGAGTAATGGGAGTTAGAGCTAGAAAAGGAAGTAGGAGCCACATTATGGAGTCTGTATTGTAATGCCATAGAACTTGGACTTGAAGGAAATAGGGAGCCTGTGAAAATTCTTTTTGTTGAGACAGTCTCACTGTTCCCTGGACTAGAGTTCAGTGACATCATCCAACCTCACAGCAACCTCAAACTCCTGGGCTCAAATGATTCTCTTGCCTCAGCCTCCCGAGTAGCTAGAACTACAGTTGCATACCACCACTTCCAGCTAATTTTTTGTAGAGATAGGGTCTCGCTCTTGCTTAAGCTGATCTCAAACAGCAGGCCTTATGCAGTCCTTCCGCCTCAGACTCCTAGAATGCTGGGATAATAGACGTGAACCACCACACCTGGCCTCTGTGAAAATTCTAAGCAGAGAAATGATGTGTTCAGAGTGGTATGTTACAAACAACCAAGGAGACATTGGAGTCAAGGAGGAGAAGTGTATGGGAGCATCCCTGTGTAAAATGAACTAGACCACAGCAATGGGAGATGGAGACAGAGAAAGGATAGGTGGTCATCAAGGGTCAGTAGAGTGGATTGCTGAGAGTATTAACATGTATGAGGGAGGCCCACAGGCCACAGCACCTGCCCAGCACTTCAGTTGCCCTGCATTAGCTTAGAACTTGCCTGGTCTCTGGCCCGCAGGTACCTGGTCTCACTGGGTTGCATCAAACCCCTGTGCGATTTGCTGACTGTAATGGATTCCAAGATTGTGCAAGTGGCCCTCAATGGACTGGAGAACATCCTGCGGCTTGGAGAGCAAGAAGGCAAGCGCAGTGGCTCAGGGGTTAATCCCTACTGTGGCCTCATCGAGGAAGCCTATGGTATGTGCCCTCTACCCAGCCTCGCCTCTGCCTCAAGTAGAGAGATTCTAGGTCAGAACCTGAGGACTGTCAGCCTCCAAAGTGGTGTATATATGTGAAAGAGTATGTTGGGGAGCATCCATACCTTCTGTGAGACTTGAGTCTGTGTCTAAAGACAAGTTATACCATCCACAGAGTTTCAGATGATACCACGCGTGTAACGGGCATGTATTGAGTAGCTGGAGTTGAGCTAGAATTTGGATTTGGGTCTTTTAAATCTAGTTTTATCCCAACAGTATTTTCTCCCTCTGAGGAACAATAGATCAGTTCTTTCTGATAGGCTCTACCTAATAAGTAGGTATGGTGATCCAAAACTGATAATGGGATAGAATAAGGAGCTAGAAGGCATGTGTTTTCAGCATAGTTTCTGACAAGTTCCCATAAGAATGCTTGGGAGCATTCTGAGCCATTTTCAGTTCAAACTGCTGCCCAATTAATTACAAAAGAAGAAAGATAGGAAGGAAAGGAAGGAAGGAGGGAGGAAGGGAGGAGAGAAAAAGAGGGAAAGAAAATGCTGGATAACTCATCACCCATCTGTGAGAAGAGAGGCTGATGATTTGCTCAGGTCATGCAGCTAGTTTAAAGCAGAATCAGGACTAGATCCTCTATAACTGACATTTTGGTCTCTTTGCTTTGGGATTCTGTAGTTTTGGGAAGAGATCTTGACTCTTTTCTTTCAAGTCCAAGAATGATCTGATCATCTTAGTTGTTTTGTAAGCACTAACGTACCTCAGGGAAGAAAAAATAGATAAATGTTTCATCTACCTATAGAAAAGCACCCACACTTCACTCTCCTTCCTTCTTGCTACCTTAGGCTTGGATAAAATTGAGTTTCTCCAGAGCCACGAGAACCAAGAGATCTACCAGAAGGCCTTCGACCTCATTGAGCACTACTTTGGTGTAGAAGACGACGATAGCAGCCTGGCTCCCCAAGTGGATGAAACGCAACAGCAGTTCATCTTCCAGCAGCCCGAGGCCCCCATGGAGGGTTTCCAGCTATAATATCTGCCTCCGGGGAGGGGAGGGGATGGGAAGCACCACCGACCAGCAGAAGAGCAGCCCTCTGGTGGGCGGGAAACCAGCCCCCCCACCATCAGCCACCACACACCTCTGCTGCCCTGGAGACTGTGCTCTTGACCTGCTCCGCCCCCTTCCCTGGAGGGCGTACCCTCTGGACAGACAGAACCATCTGAGGCTCACATTTGGGTTTTGTGACAAGAAGGGGATGTGTTGGGTTTTTCTTCCTTACACTATATTTTGGCTGCACACATGTCTTTAACCCAGGAGCCCAGGGGTAGACAAAGGAGGACTAAGGTAATCAATTTGCACCTTTTTTTATTTTTATTTTTTTCTTTTTTCTTTAATGGTGACTTCCTTTTTATCTTTTTTCATCCTTCCCAATCCTCTGCCCTGATCTGTATAACTCTTATCTTGGGTACTTGAGCAGATGGAATATTCCAGAGGTGGGAGGTGGGAGGGGAAGGGAGAAATCCAAAACAAAGTGTTCTTGCTCTGACAGAATATTAATCTTGTATACTTTGATTGAGTTATTTAATTTTTTTTTCTTTTGCACATTTTTCTTGTATTAAGATTGTTCTTCCCAAGAGCCATGAGTTCCTGGTTTTAGGAATCCCAGCTGCCAGCATTGCCTGGGACTAGAGGCTGATGGGAAGGCTACCATGAAACAAAGGCCCCTCCCTCCCTCTCACCCAGATCTCTTTAGTTTGGGAGATCCCCCTCATTCTCCTGGGGCAAGTACACCAGTGGGAGTGGAGGGGAGGGAGGAGCACAGGCCTTCAGATGGGGCTCCCCGCGTGTAGCTACTGATCCCATGTTTCCTACCCACCTTCCAAATGGTGCGACCCAACTTCATTTGTTTACTTGAAAATTCCCCTCAGGGTTGAGTGAACCTCTGAGGTGGCTGTATTTTCTCCTAAGCTTAAGACAGGGGACTGTGGTCCTTCCTTTCTCCTGAGGAGAAAGTCCTTGCTCTGGTGACCTATAAATTGCAGAGGAGGTTGGAGTGAGAGTGTCATGTATTGGGATAGTCAGGGATCCCTGCCTTTGGCCTTTCTTCTTCTTCTTCTTCCTCTTCCATAGTTGGATCATGTATATTTTACTTCCAAAGGAGAGAATGTCAAAAAGTTCTGTATTTTTTTATATTCTATATATTAGGTAGGTCACTCTTAATTGGTCTCAAGGGGAAAAACTATCTGTAATTTCTGTAAGTAGGATACTGAGAGGAAGACCAAAAAAAGAGATGTGGAAGGTCCCTTGCTCAGGAGGCCTGAGCGTGGTCCATTTGCTCTCTGCTTGGATTCTGGACCACCACCTGGGACCAACCCTCAACTCTGGAAACTTTGTAAAGCAGGTCAGCATGGTCTCATTGTCCCAGTACCTGAAAGGAGTAAGGATGGCTTCAGGGCCTGGTGAAGTCTACCACTCTAGTCCTTGCTCCTGAGCATCCTGCTTCTATCAGGAAACCCAGAAAATAGTTGGCCTTCTACAACTCAATCTCAGAGGCTATTGTCCACATAAGTTATCACACATGGCTGCGTTTGCTATTGTCCCAGAAACTTAGCAGCCTGAATACTTTTGTGGGAATTATTGGTATCTTCCCTGTTAGGGATCCTTATACCTGGTTTGGGTTTTTTCTTCTTTGTGACAATTATAATCCAGATGCCTTTTCTTTCTCTTTGAGTAAAGCTAGTGCAGTGCCTCAGTGACTTGCCTGTACCTCTGGATGGATTACATGTGATGGTAAAGCCCATCTGTTGGAGATGGGAGAGGAGGAAGTTGTCAGCTAAGTGTAGACCAGCTGTGGTGTTGAAGGCACAATCTGCCCTGCTGCTGCCTCCGTACTGTGGTTAGAGGTCCTGTTCTAAGCTATACTTTTCCAGAAACAATGCCGTTCTTGCTCCCATTCCTATACATCCCTTTCTGGCTCAGGTGAAATCCATGCCCCTCTTCTTACAGATCTAAACTTCCAGTGCTTATTGTTGGCCATTCGTCTTGAATTTGGCCTTCCCTAGTTCGAGGTCGCACTCCAATGCCATTTTCTAAGGAAGATGGTTTAGGGCTGGCAGCTATCACTGAAAAATCACACTAATGTTATACTGCTTTGGTGAGTCACATGCTTCTTAGTAGCTTGAGAATGATGGCTACCAACCCCTAATCTCCCAGGAAGGCAAGGGGCAGGACATTTTTTTCACTTGGCTTTCTACCTCCATTACAAAACTATTCTCTGACAGTTCAAAGAAAAGCTTTCACCCACCCGTCCCCCCATGGTCCTTGTGCAAAGGGCAGAGCAATTTAGTAGGATCTACTTAGTACATCTCAAGCAATAGCTAAGTCCCTGACATTGGGGCCAAATTCCTAGTGTGAGACATACACATCCTGGTTTCCCAACTGTTTCTCCAGAAATCTCCTTTGGGTTCAGCTTTAGGTCCTGTACCAGATAAAAGACTGTTTTTTGGTCATTTGGCTGCTGCTTAATGCAAGTTTTCTCTAAGGACTTAAAATGCTAAATTCTACTGGGGGCACAATGTGAGGAAAGATTTCTCAAAGAAAGGTTGCCTCTAGGAGCTTTTCATTTGTGTCTTCCCCGGACCATATTTTCCCATTATCTTCCTCTAAACTCATTTCAACCAACAGAAAAAGTTCTTCCAGCCAACAGAGACAGTAGTACCATCTTTTGTATAACCTCCTTTTCATTGGCCATCTTGTAAAGCAAAATATTATTTCTTTATTTTGCTCACATTTGAGAGTCACTCTTTATGAGCAACTCCCATCTGGACCCCAGATCCTGGCCTAAGTGAGGTCAAAGGCTTTCTGGCAGATTTTTGGTAATTACCAGGATGTAGAGGCTCCCCAGCCTGTTTTAGGAACTAGCCTGATAAGTTGAAACATGTTTTTGGAATCTCATATGGCTGGCATATCCATTTTAAGATCTCTGATGGGGGTGGAAGTACCTAGGTATGGATTAAGAGGGACAAGGAGAGTTTTTCTTAGTTAACATATTCAAATACTGTTTTGAACAGTGCCAGCTTTTCTTTATTGCCAACCTCTCAACTACTAACAGGGTCCCTGGTCTTATAAACCTGCCTTCAGTTCCCACCTCTCCTCAGTGACTGCCTGGCCTTGATGTTGGCTGCTGCAACCCTCTGATACAACCACATGGGTTCCACCTTGAACTGGCCAGCCTAGTTACTTGGGCATGAATGACCCCTCCAAGGAACAGGTGGTTGGTGACCTCATTTTGGGGGGACCCTTGGTTTTATTATTCCTTATCTAGAAACTTTAGATCTACTTTTTCAACTCTCTGCCCTGGAAACCATCTTGCAGTAACCCTATTTTTTTGGAACTGAACTGCACAGATTATAGCTGCTATTGTAGTTAAGGGAGAAGAATAAAAAACATTCTGTTTCTCTCAAGCCAAACCAGTTTAAAATGAAAACTGTCTAACAGAATGAACTATATTTACATTTACTTGTGTCTACCTGCCTTCTCTCCCCACCCTAGAGTTGTACCTATTTCTAGCAAACTGAAAGGAAAGAAGGAGAAAGCCTAGCAATACTAACCTCACCACCCTATATGCCTTTCCCAGCCCTTTTGTTCAGGCCTTCTCTTTTCTCCCATAGACTCACTCAACTCGGAATCCATTATCTTGGGTATTCTTCATTAGATTCATCTTACAGGCTCAGGTGCACTGAACTATGGGAAACATCTTCCAGGTAGTACTACCCTGGAAGTTACTGTGAGACTGAAAGATTGCTCAGAATAAATTTCTTCCATAGCCATTTAGGATTCTACATTCTAGACCAACCTTGTCCAGTATTTTTTCTGTTTTAGCATTTGCATTTTTTCGTTAAGCCAACAAGCTGAGAATTTAGCCCTACTGGGATCCATATGGTGGGCACTAGCTGCTCTTTGGCCAAGGCCTTCATGATTCAGTCATCCCATTGTCTATCCCCTAGCCCCACCCCCAGATTAAGATCATGGCAAGGGAAGAATTTGAGGTTAAGACCAACCAAATCTGTTAATGAAAGCCGTTATTTTTCCTCTGAGAGGGCATTTTGTTGCAGAACCAAAGCTGGCTGTGAGAGTTACAAAAGGCAGCATTAAATTTGGGGCCCAGAACACCATGGGAGAAAGGTTTTGTGTAGTATGTTCCAGTGGGCTTGGGTCTACCTAGCTTCTTCTGGACCAGCCTGATTTCTGATGTCCATATACACATACCTGAACCCCCTTGCTCTCTTGTAACAATATACCATGCCCTGAGGGCAGTGAAGGAAATAAGCTCAAAGATCCTAAGACTGGCTGGGAACCTCTGACTCAGAGGATGTCCTTAAAGAGTTCACATCTACATGAACCCCTGTGCTCTGGAGTTGGGTCCTTGGCTTTTTCAGCCAGCTTTTATGGGAACTGCCTTTGATTGACCTATTTTAAAAGAAGGAAAGGAGCGATGGGGTCCCAGCCACACAACAGACCAGATGTCCCCTAAAAACAGTTTGGGTTTCTAGCTATGGACCCTAGGAAGGTGAATCAAATCCTTCTCGCTGGTTTTTCTTTACAAATTAATTTGCTTTTATTTTTCTAACAACTATAAACTCTATTTTCCATGTTCTCAGGGCCCCTGGGTAGACAGACAAAGCTTGATGATTTCAGAGCAGACATAGGCTAAGAAACCGTGGCATTGAGTGTGCTGAGTCCAGACAAATGATATTTATATACACATCCAAATTTGAAGAGAAAATGTATTTCTTTAGGTTTCAAACACTGTAATAGATATAAAGCAAAAATAAAAACCTGTTGCAAAGTTCTAAATCGTATTCTTTGGCTTGGAGTGACCCTAGACTGGATTTTTTGGAAGTGAATGAGGAGAAGGTGTTTAAACTTGTAGCTTAACAGTGGAAATAAGAATTATACCATCTGCTCCTGCTATAAAGGTTTTTAAAAATCAGCTTTATTGAAATATAACTAAAATACAATAAATTGTACATATTTAAAGTGTACAATTTGATAAGTTGAGACATATGTGCCCATAAAATCACCAAAGAGAGATGCGAGCAAGGCACGGGATGGCTCAGGGCGCAGACTGACGTGGCCGGACGCTCGGTTCCCGCCCCCCGACCCACGTGGGTCCCCGCGCCGCGCAGCCACCCACCCCACGCGCCTCCAACCGCGCGTGCGCCGCGCATGCGCAGATACCCGCCCACCCCCAGCCACGCGCAGAGGCGGCGTGATTCCCCCACTGGCCCGAAGCGTCTAGGCCCACAGACCCTCCGATTGTCTCGTCCCACCAGCCGCCGCCGTACGCACCTCACGCCAACGTCCGACGGCTTCCCAGCTCTGGCCTCGCACCGGAAACCCTGGGTAACCGCCGCTGGCAGAGCCCGCCTGCTCCGCCGCAGCCAATCAGTAGCCGGCGCGGGCGCGGAGCTTGCTGGGAAAGGCGGCGCGAAGGCGGCCTTTGAGGCGGGCAGGCAGGGAGGGGGGGAGGGAGCGAACTACAAGTTCCTCAGTGCATCGGGGCGGGCGGCAACTCCCAAGATGCACAGAAAGGGATTTAGTTCTGGGAGTCCAAAAGGAGCCGGTCATTCTGCACAGGTGCCCACGTCAACCTTGTTTTTATCACGCAGAAGCTTTGATTCAGCCCCGAAAGCCGTGCGCCTGTTTCCTGCAGGCCTCCTGTGCTGTGAATATCCATGATTCTATCGCGGAACTTCGAGGACTGGGGAAGAGGGATAGCGTCCTGGGCTGAGAATCAAGAGACCTGTATTCCAGTCCTAACTTCATCACTCATTGCAGTGTGACTGGACATTCTTTTGTCTCTCTGGGCCTCAATTTCCTTATTCAAAGAGGCTTTTAATAACAGTATCAGTTCTTTGAGCGTTTAATTTGTGCTTTCGCGGTATGCAGTGTCTGAATCCTCATTAACTACTCATCAGGATAAATACTATTTGTTATTCATATTTTACAGAAGAGGACAATAAGGCAAAGGTTAGATAACTATCCAAGGTCACATTGATATTGAGTGGTTAAAGCAGGATTCAAAACGACGTCTGACACCATCACCCATGTAACTACTCCCATGTAACTACTCGGTTATGCTGCCTTTAACCTAGAAGAAACCACCAGGGCATGTTTCCCTGAGAGAGTCAGGGTAACTTGTGAAAGTAGGTTATTTTTCTCTCTGTCCATCACCAGCTGGGCAATCAGTTCCTCAGGTACTAAGGGGTTCCTTCAGGGGAGTTTGGCCTCAGGCAGATTCATGAGCCCTTTCTCTGACTGGCGTACACCACCTACAGTCTTCGTTGCACTGCGGGGGAAAATTGGAAAAAAGTCAAAAATTTTTTCCAAATGTGAGATCACAATTTTTTTCCTTTCTGTAATATTATTTATTTTTTTTCTATTTTCAGTTGGCCATTTTTTTTTTTTTTAAAGTAGAGACGGGGTCTCCCTCTTGCTCAGGCTGGTCTCGAACTCCTTGGCTCTAACTCCTGAGCTCAAACGATCCACCCTTCTAGGCCTCCCAGAGTGCTAGGATTACAGGCATGAGCCATCGCGCCCGGCCGAAATGACAATTCTTTATCCCCATTGCCTACAGATAATGGAATAAAACTCAACAATCCTTGCTCCTGGAATTTGAAGCCTAAGTGGTTTGGCTTCTGCCTGTTTCCAATCTTCTTCCATCCCTTTTGCCTTTTTTACTCCAACTCCACTTTTGCTATTTCCAGGATTTCTCACGGTTTTTTTTTCAGATGCTATTGTCTTCCAAAATGCCCTTGTGGCAAAAAACAAAATCTTTTGAAGTCCAGCTCAAAGGTCACTTCAGAGCCTTCCCAGTGCTCTGCAATCTGTCCTTGCTTCCTAGGTCTGGAGAGACTTGTTACAGCATTAGCAGTGAGGTGTTGAAATTACTATTTGCTTACAAGTCAGTGAATTTTAGCCCTTCTTCTTTTTTTTTTTTTTTTGACGGCAGAGTCTCTCTCTGTGCCCTGGGTAGGGTGCAGAGGCATCATCATAGCTCACAGCACCCTCCTGCCTCAGTCTCCCCAGTAGCTGGGACTACATACAGGCACACACCAGGATAGATACCCGGCTACTTTTTCTATTTTTAGTAGAGATGGGGTCTGCTTTTGCTCAGCTGGTTTCTAACTCCTGAGCTCAAGCGATCCTCCCACCTCGGCTTCCCAGAGTGCTAGAATTACAGGCGTGAGCCACAGCACCCGGCCAAGATAGTGAATTTTGGAAGAACTGCTGCTAAATGCTCTAGTCCCAGAGCCTAGCATCAGGTTAGGGGTACAGACTGTTGTAAATTACTTTAATTAACTGATCATTGCTAATATTAGGGCTCTTAGGATGTTAATATTTTCCACAAATATTTAAAGGACTGCTCTGACTTCACAGCAGTGCAACCTTAGGTAACACCAAGGCTCACATTTACAAGGTAACATTAAGAGGCAATATGGTATATTACAGGTTAAGCATCCCTAATCTGAAAATATGAAACTTTTTGAGTGCCAACATGACACTCAAAGGAAATGTTCATTGGAGCATTTCAGATTTTCAGATTAGGGATGCTCAATTGGTAAATCTGAAAAAATATGAATCAGAAACACTTCTGAGGGCTGGGTGTGATGATGGAATGAGGCTGAGAAAGGTTTAGGATCCAGGTCTCTTGAAACCAAGGCCCTGATTATTCTAGAAAAGCGTTTTGGAGATCTCCCAAGGAACATAAGAATCAGACATTGATGAATTTTCATAGAAAGTGTTCTAGCCAAAGATAATAAAAAAGGTATGTATAGGGTGGAGTGGAGGGCATAGCAGAAGGGTCAACAGTGGTCTACTGCGAGTAGACTACAAGGGCCACCTGGGTAAACGAGTAGAGCAGGCAATAATAATTTGACAGAGACATGTTAAGAAGTTATGTTTTCCTTTGCTATAAAACAACATATAGTAACAATATTAATATGTGTCAGATTTCAGGGAGGCAACTGGCAATGGGGATGATTACATTATAATAAAATAGAGTAGCTCTTGCAGATTTTTTCCAAGCAGAAACTCAGGCCCAATAGTGCCAGATAGTATTTTTCAAGACAGGTATTTCTGATTTTTTAAAATGTTGGCAACCAATTAAAACTTAAACACACTCTATTTGCCAACCAAAACCTTCCTTTTGGTTCAATTTTTTGGCTGCATGTCTGTAATCTCTGCTTTAGGAATTGATCAGAACTGAAGGGAGAGTTTGTGAATATTTGACCTCAACAGCCTCAAAGGGCTGTGGAGGGTGCTAAGGAAACTTCATCAAAATCGTTGAGAGGGCGGGCGTGGTGGCTCACGCCTGTAATCCTAGCTCTCTGGGAGGCCGAGGCGGGCGGATTGCTAGAGGTCAGGAGTTCCAAACCAGCCTGAGCAAGAGCGAGACCCCGTCTCTACTATAAATAGAAAGAAATTAATTGGCCAACTAATATATATAAAAAAAATTAGCCTAGGCAACAAAGCAAGACTCTGTCTCAAAAAAAAAAAACGTTTAGAGAAACTCTAGAAAATGCAAACTATAGTGACAGACACAGAGCAGTAGATGTTGGGGTTGGGGCAGGAAAGAGGGATTCCCAAGGGGGAAATTTATGACTTATGGAGGTGATGGATTTGTTCATTATTATTATTATTTTTTGAGACAGAGTCTCACTCTGTTGCCCAGGCTAGAGTGCCATGGCATCAGCCTAGCTCACAGCAACCTCAAACTCCTGGGCTCAAGCAATCCTCCTGCCTCAGCCTCTTGAGTAGCTGGGACTACAGGCATGTGCCACCATGCCCGGCTAATTTTTTCTGTGGATATATTTTTAGTTGGCCAATCAATTTCTTTCTATTTATAGTAGAGACAGGGTCTCACTCTTCCTCAGGCTGGTCTTGAACTTCTGACCTTGAGCAATCCGCCCGCCTCAGCAACCCAGAGTGCTAGGATTGATTATAGGCGTGAGCCACCGTGCCCCGCCTGTTCATTCTTAATCTCTGTCTCAAAAAAAAATAGAAGCAGTACTGAATTTGTCCCAGCCCTCATGAAGCTTCTAATATAGCAAGGAAGGCAGCCAGTTCAACAGCAAAATAAAGTATGATAGGGGAGGGCTGCCTTCAGTGTGCATGAGTGTGGGCTCAGGGCTGGTGGGATCCCCAAGAGAAAGGGGTGTATGGCTTTGCTCCCTGTGCTTTGCAGGGAAGGAGATCACATTGCTGATGCAGAACATTCGAACACGCTGAGTACCCCAGAGGAGAAGCTGGCAGCTCTGTGCAAGAAGTATGCTGAACTGGTCCAGTTCCCCCTTCCGCTGCACACCTTTCCTGCCTTTGGAAAATCAGCAGGCCCCTAGCATGGGGGTTGGGGTGCCAGGGGAAGGTGGGTGACTTAATTCCTGTTCAACTTTTCTCAAACCTTTCCCCCATCTGTTTTAATGGGGTGTCAGTTCCCAGCCAGCCTCTTCAGGG